GAGAAAGTACCGTTGTTTAACTTCAGGAACGCTCATGTGTGTTTCAGAACAGGCTGGGCATGACCGAGCATCTGTAAACATGTGTAGTGCTTTATTCCACGCTGATCAGCACTGCTGTGAGTCTGTTCTGCTCGGCTGATTCGTGTTGATTCGGGTGACTGCAGCTCGAATACGAAAGTGAAACGTTCTTGTGCTGATGTTAGATCAGGCCATATGAAGTGTGGTATAATAATAACTCGTGTGACACACAGCTGTGCTCTTATAAACACACACATTCATCAACAACACCGCAGTACTGAATTCATGTGTAGCAGCATAAGTGTGAAGTGACATGTGGCCAAGTATGGTGACCCATACTCAGAATTAGTGCTCTGCATTTACCCATCCAAAGTGTGCGCACACACACACACACACACACTAAACAACTCTAATCAAATGAAGGCATAAAACATCTATTAATCTATTAAAACACAATAAAATGAAATCAGAGGCACGCAGAACATGCAGATTTAATGTTTTAATAGCAGTATTTTTGTGCTTTTAATATTCACGCACACTAGCCTCAATTTGAGTCATTGTACAACCCTACTTTTGATTTATTTCATGCAAAATTCTGCATTATACTGTAAATTACAAATTTTAGTTTTTGACTGGATTCACTGAAATCATAGGACTTTATGAACCAAACCAGCCAGCTTTTGATTCAAAGCAAACAAAGACGATACCGAATCAAATCACAATCATGTTCTGTTGAATATGTCACTGGTTATAAGAACGAAACACCATGGTATTTGCTAAATGTTCATTAATTCAGTGAAGGATTCATCAGACTGATTCAAACCGACAACTTTTTGAATCATTTATTAAAAGAATCGAGTCATTTGACCGCTCATGCTGTGTTTGTTTTTTGTGCAGCTCAATAGAAAGTCGTGTTTTCATGCAGTTCACAGCAGAGTGATCTAAATGCTTCAGGTTTTTGCATAGAGAAAGTACCGTTGTTTAACTTCAGGAAAGCTCATGTGTGTTTCAGAACAGGCTGGGCATGACCGAGCATCTGTAAACATGTGTAGTGCTTTATTCCACGCTGATCAGCACTGCTGTGAGTCTGTTCTGCTCGGCTGATTCGTGTTGATTCGGGTGACTGCAGCTCGAATACGAAAGTGAAACGTTCTCGTGCTGATGTTAGATCAGGCCATATGAAGTGTGGTATAATAATAACTCGTGTGACACACAGCTGTGCTCTTATAAACACACACATTCATCAACAACACCGCAGTACTGAATTCATGTGTAGCAGCATAAGTGTGAAGTGACATGTGGCCAAGTATGGTGACCCATAATCAGAATTAGTGCTCTGCATTTACCCATCCAAAGTG